AAAAGGCTAGCGTAACAAGCACCAGCTCTCAGAGTGCTGGTGTTTGTTACGCTAAACCAGAACAGGCTGTTACTTGGCTGATGGGCCCTCAGCAGCGAAGGTCTCTGAGTATCCTCAGTCACTCAACTTTGAAAAAGGCCGCTTATAGAGTAAGCTAGCGTAATTAAGCTAGCGTATCCGGTCGGGCCGCATTGGCGTAACGGAACGGAAATTACATTTTTTGGCCAGGGAGCCATTTCTGGCGCGGCGTGCTTAATTGCAGACTTCTCCTTAAAGTCTATCTAATGTCGATCCACGCGTGCCGGGACGCACGGTGTAACGGGACGCTTTCTGACCCGGACCCACGGATTGCTCCTAGTGCTCTTGAATATAAACAAATGCAATGCGCATCTATTCTAATGTCAATCCCTGGGACCCGGGACGCACCCTGAGCCGAGACAGTTTTGCACTTCGGACCTTCGGAAAATCGAACGCGCAACTCAATGAAGCTGTACTAGATGTACATAGATCTATAGCTATTGCTGTTTTAGGAGGATAGCCTCCGAGCAAGATCTCTGCAAAGTTGGACATGTCGTCGATCTTCTCCTCGAGACTGTTAGTCGCCCCTTCACTGTTTGACCCCTGTGCAAACGCGACTTTACATCTCTATTAAATATTCGGATATCTGCAAGAGAAGTTCAAACGTCTAAGATAGTTTTTCTAGGTTTAGAAGTTACTTAATCGTCAAGACCGTGGATGCCGGGAGTTTCGCCGTGCAGAGAAGGAAACGCAGAAAAGTCTCCTAGCGTGGCGAGATGCCTCTAACCTTGTTTGCTGACATTAGGATGATGACATAATACCGTAACATATCCTCGCGCTATTCCCCATTGATCTCGATATCTAAAAATAAGTGTGGCGCATGTCGTGGGTATTGGAAATAGAATAACTAGGTCCTGTGTTGCAGTATGTAAGGGCTGCGCTTGAGTATACAAGAGATCTTATTCGATAAGGAGCTATCTACTTGCTTACGCGGTTGTTTACCTACTTATCGGAGAAAGGTTATGCCGAGGCATCTGGGCGCGCTGTCTGAGCGCCGTTCGGACAGTGCACAGATTCTAGGTGCTGCCCATAGCACTCGGATTCTGTGGATGATCCGAGATCCCATCGAGGAGCTATCTAAAGGGCGTTCAGCGTGTTACAAGTCAAAAGAGAAGATAGTATGAGATAACAAAGCTGACGAACTATTCGTATCTGCTCATATGGATAGCTAGGAAAACATGTAGAGGTTGATACTACAAAACCAAATTCTTCCTGATCCAACACCTATGCCAATCGTATCCCCGCACACAGACGAGCATGATGTTCGATACTCAGATAATATCCAGAGCAGGTTCTTGCCGTTACACGTGATCCATGTGCCGTCTGGGCTAATGCCCGCGCCCACGTACTGGGGACATTGAAGTACCGGATCATTTTTTACACCAAGACCTTTAGATGCACTAACATTGATAGAACCAATTTCTGTAAGTAGATGTGAGCTAGTAACATTAAATGACAGGTTGTAAAGAGCCCTGCCAATGTCGAGCGTCTGCAGACACGCGCCGCTGCTCGCGTCCCATATCTTGACGGTGTTGTCGCAGGCCGCTGATGCTAGCCGCGTTGAGTCGTGCGAGAAGGC